CTGGGCAATCCATAATATTTATTTCAACAAATGCTTCAAATCTTTTTAAACATCATAAAAACATGGCTCATTAAACTACAACAGCCTTGAAATTGTGTTATAAAACCACAAAACAAAAATCAATACTTCTGCTGGAAAGGAGGTAATGAAATATATCGAGTTGGTTGAAAAGTGCTTTGTATGAATCATAATATTATTATGTGCACATCGCTTCTGCTCCCAATACTTAAAGTTAACAAACTAGGGAGTGTTTTCTATCCCATCACTTAAACAGGTGCCACAAGGTGGTATTTATCAGTTATTTTCCAGACTTGATCCTTCTGCCATAAATAAGGCTGGGATACAGGAGGCTTAGTAAAAGGAGATCAATCCAGTGCATATTTGCTACCTGAGCTTCAGCTGCTGTATTATTTCACAGTCTGATCAATACTGTGCTCCACTATAGCAAAGGAAAAAGCCACAACATCACCCTGATGAGTCACTGTAGGTTTACTGCTGAACCAGAAGGAGATAACATTTCTGATTTTATAAAGAGTAAATTTGGTTTGTAGCATTTGACCACTATTAAATAGTTTAACGCTCTCTTTCAAGTCTTTTCCAGATTTTCAGCAGTTACATAAACTCTTCTGGAATCAACACTCCCTCTGCTGAAACAAAATCCTGTGAAATATTACTTAGAACTCTCTCGTTATTTTTTAAACTGGGGTTATTCAGTAAATTCAGGGAAATCTGGTACTTAAAAGTATTTCGATGCTGACAAACAATAATGGCATCAGTATTTTTCTCAAGAAAAATCAACTATAAATACCTAGAAACAATAAAAAACAGAAGGAAAAAGAGATTGAATAGTAACTGAGACTAGCCAAAGGCTCAGCAGCTACTTGTAGCCATTGTACTCTCACCCTCCTCAGAAATAAACCCCCAAACCTGCTAAACTCTGTTTGCAATGTAATCAGAAGACAGCAAAAACTTCACATCATGAAATTAGTTCATTTAAAAGGAAAGAGCTATATCCACACAAGTTATTTCATCTCTGGAAAAGAAGAAAAATATATCAAATCAATTGATGGAGAGTGGAGGGAACCAAAAGCAGATTTTAAGATTTGTGCAGAGTACTTTAACTATTTCCACCAAAAAAAGAAAATTAATTATATTCAACAGAGTCTAACCTGGGCTCTGGGAAAAGAGGAATACAGAGCATAACCTGAGACTTCTGAACATCTGATTTGCTGAAGAGAAACAAGATGCCTGATTTAGGACAAACTCATCTGAAACACTTCCATAGTTGTGTAGCCAGAACCTTTTCTGCACATCACTTCATATATGAGCATTACAGGGCAGACTGAGCCATTTTCATGCAGCTCAGTCATTTCAAAGTCTCCTCTACTGGAGACCATGATGCATGTCCATCCCATCATTTCAGATAGTTGTGGTGGCACTGGGAACACTCTAGATGTCCACTCACCATGAGAAAACAAAAGCTTGATTTCGTACCCCAGCAGAAAAATCTCACTTCCTACAGCATGTGAGCTTCTAATCCCAGCTGGGGAATGGTTCTGCAGAAGCTGAGGAAATGCCATCCTGTAAATGAACATCTCAACTTCCCTCTGGCATAAGAAAGAACCAGCTTCTCCAATTCCAGCAGGAAGCCTCTCCAAATTATGCTTTGATTTTACTACTTAACAGGAGAAGGAGAAAAGGTGCTACAGCTGGTAGCTACTGATATTTAATCTTACACTTATTTTTACTTTATTGTTTTCTATAAATAGTCTTGTCTTTCACCAGCTCTACTGCTGTTAGAACCTTTTCCAGTAACTGTCAACATTACACAGAGCCTTAACCCCTGAGAGAGAAAGAAAGAAATGAGGGGGTGGAAGAAGAGAGACAACTACTAATCCTGAAGAGAGACATATCACATCATCACAGGACTCCCTGCTACTTCAGAGCCTTCTACATAACCAGCTGTACAATAATCTCATCTGCTTAAGGTTGAATCTCTCCAAAATGCTATTTGGAAATGCAGCAGCCTGGATCTGACCCTCTGCAAAGAGCCAAGAGTGTACTGCCTGCATCCCCCCACAATCACACCCCATGTCAGCTACGGGTTCCTGACAACATCCCGGCTCCATTGCCCCCACCATTTGTATACATAAAAACTAATCACACAATAGACTCATTTTATATTTCTAATCTGATTATTTGATCATACAAGCACAGTGAAAATTACAGGATTAACTTTTAAGCTTCATCTAATATGTGGCAAATAATGTACTGTGGTACCAGCAGAGCACTTCCAGATGTTCCAGTAGATGCTGAAATGCAAAATAGCCGTGTGTTGGTTATTCTGGAACATTTATGTTCTCAGAGAGTAGCCATGTATGTTATACACACCTTGTAAAGGAGCAGTGAGAACAGTTTCCTATCTAAATAACCAAAATCAGCAAAAATTAAAGGTAAGGTCATTTTACAGAAGACATCAGGAGTTTGGAGCAACTAGCTGAGGTCATGAGTTCCGAGAGCCAGAAATGAAACTTCCATTTCCTAAATTATTCCCTCACATTTTAACCACAAGCAAGACATTCAGATAAACCTCCAAGGTTCCAAATCACTCATAATAAAGATGTAATAAATACCATTCAACAGGGCTAACAATAAAGGAATATGTGTGCATCAAGCTAGTGCATCCTTAGAGAGGGAAAACAACAAAACCACGGGTTCAAACAGCACCAATACAGGAATTAAATTCCAGTATTGTTGTTAACTTTTCGTTTTCACTAATGGCTTTTAAGAAAGCCAGACAACTTTCCTCAATCCATTTTACCTTTTCCCTCCATTTGACAAATATTGATTTTCATTTCCTCCAAGTTTAAGTGCATTGAATGCTACTGTGACTGGTTTGCTTGCTTTTTTTGTTTGTGTCCCAGCTTTATTGAGGATGCCAGCATGAATGCATACAGCTTTCAAAAGAAGGAATTGGTTTAATAACTTCTTAAGATCCAGGAGAGAACACAGGGGCCCAGTCTACTTTTTGTGTAGGTCATGCAAGAAAAGAGACTCTAGGTGCCTGTCTGATGTCAGTAAGGAGACTGCTGAAGTAATAGCCTCCGTGTTTTAAGCTGTTACTGCTGTGCCCTGTCACAACAGGACAAATTATGGAGTGTTCTCCCCCCACTTCAGTGCAAATTTAGACGTACTTCAGTGGCATTTTAAGCTAAGCCTATTTTGTAGGCAGTTGTTCCTTTAGGAGGCTTGGTTTGGAAGGTAACACCTCGTGAAATTCTGGCTCAAACAAGCTGTACCTTTATGAATTCTTTTCTGCCTGACTCACTGATACATAAGCTCTCCCTCCTTTTGTAAAATGATCTCCTTAAGCTTTGCAAACCTGCCCAGTACATTTTGGACTCTTTCCTATCTTAAATAAGGAACCAAATAAGAATTGGCTCAGTCTTTGTGGTGATATGAATGAAGAGTGCTCATGAGATCTATTCCACTCATTCAGATATGGAAGGGGGAGAAATCTCAGCAGACAGGAATAAACAGCTGAACTGAAAGGGAAATAAAGTAACACCTTAAACAGCCACATCCAGCACTACAAAAGTTGTGTGCAGCTCTCAGGCACTCCTCAGTGCTAGAAGCCAAAATAAGTTCAGCTGAGTTAAGCAGTGGGGTTAAGTTGTTTTATGTGTATCAGCACCAGAGCTCTGTGCTGGTGTTCAGGGTTCCCCAGCTGAGCTGTGGTGATTTAACCAGCACAGGCATCCCTGTGCTCAGCAGCCACAGCTCTGACACAAGGTGCTGAGAGGACTCAGTACTCAGCCTAGATAAGTAAATAGACACATTAACCTCTGAAATCTGTTCTGTCTCTCTCTAGATAATTTGCTTTCTATGGATCCTCTAACCACCAGAAAGATGGGGTTCACATGAACTCACATTTGTACTGAACATGATTATCCACTTAGTTATTGTACATATGAAACAAATGTTAGCTTCACTAAGTATTAACTGACATTTTACAATCCTGATGAAAGTAAAGCAATTCAGAGTTATTCACTGCTAGGAAAAGCTGGTTTTCAAAACAGGCAGTGCTTTGAAAAAATTCTTATCATTCATCTGATTAGTCTCACTGCTTTCACTTTGGAATAATTTTTAATAAAAAAGATGAGGAAAAAGAATGAAAGTAGTGATGAGCAGGGTTAAATCCATTATAGTGTGCCAGACCACTCCATTTTTTGCTTTCCATATTCAATTCTAAATAGTTCTCATGTTGCACCACCTGATGCCAGGTGCTTCAGGGCTTCTGCTACACCCACCTGACACTGTGATGCTGCATTTTTAAGACCTTTAAATAATGAAAATAGACCTTTGCACTTCAGCACTGTGCTGGTCAAGAGAGCTGTCTGTACAGATGATGTAAATGTCTGTTAACATGGAGAGACTTCTTTTGAAATTAAATAGCACCAGAAGTTTCAGGGTTGATCTTTCTAGAGAGAATCTTCCTTACTAGCAGAGGTGACCAGGTATAACATGGGCATGGACAAGTTTTTGGTGCCCATCTAGCCTGATTTTAAAGCTCCTTCTAGAAGTGACAGTAACTTCTGAAAGTTCAGAAGAGCTTGCAGCTTGGGTTAACTAACTAACTGCTATACAAAGAAAGACAGCATCGCTTTCTTACTTTGCAGCTCTCCAGTGGTGCTCTCACTGCATTCTCTGAGTCTGATTACAAGATGCTGGCCTCACTCACCACACAGAGCATTGCACAAAAATACATGTCTAAATTAAAACAGAAGATGAAATGGAAATTGAAGAGATTTGTGGTAGGACAAAACAATATTATTTAAACTAGAAATGTCATTTTAATCACTATCATTCCTACACCTCATTACCTGTAAAATATTTCAGTCACTGAAAATTGTGGTTCAGGGCACCCTGGCACCCATGTCCCTGGAACAAGATCGTCCCTGGAACAAGATCTTCCCTGGAAGAAGCCACCATGCACTCACCATCTTCCAGGCATCTCCTAGGCCACCGTCAAAGGGACACAGGGACTTGCCCAGGGTAACCATTCCAATATTAACTGTAACCTGGATGTAAAACCCAGAAACATCAAATCAGAAAATCAGAAATACAGCGGTCAGTAACTCTGTTCTCAGCTGAAGTTCCATACTTTCCGATTATTCCTGTTCTTTCCTATTAAGATTCATTTTTCGAAGGCTCTACTCTTCAATGTTTTGCATGGAGATACATATCTATATAACAGTGTTTGAAATCTTTAAGTCATTATATTTCAGCTTGGCAGTTAGCAGACATATTGTTTCCAGCTTGTATAAATAACTGTACCTACTTATTTGCAAAACATTATTTTAACTTCTGTCAAGTCATATGCATGAGAGAAGGAAATTTAAAAAAAAAATTTAAAAAGTTATTTTGATTGGGAAACAAACAAACAAACCCTAACCAAAGAGGAACAAACCTGGAGAACTAGGGAACGCTGACAGGAAACAAACCTGCAGAGCTATGGAACACTGGCAAGGAGACAGCAAGACAGAACTGTCGTGCTACAAAGTCACACCTTCTGCTGCCAAGTAAAACTGGCCTCCTGCAAAGACACAACCGGGTAAATTGTGACTTCAGGGCTTTCAAAAGAGGAATCAGGCTCCAAAGAAATGGTCAAAACAAGCAGCAACCCCTGCATTTTGATGGTCAGCAAATATTCTTCACAAAGCAGGAACAAACCGAGGCATTTGTTGCGTGCTGCAACTGGGAGGGCTTGCAACCTTGTCCCTAAATCTCAAACCAAAGCCCAGCCTAGGAAGAAACACTGAAATCCAACAGACTTTTCCCTGAGAAAAGGGTTCGGATCTGGTCGTCATCAGCACACGAAATAAACCGGGCAATTTGCTGCTTCCTCTCCCTTCTCACGCCTGCCTGGCCAATACAGAAACCTCATTCCTGCCCTCCCCACGTGCTGCCCCGCTCCTCCCTCGGCTCCGCCGGTGTCGGCGGTGCTTTTACCGAGCCCTTCCCTCCGTCTGTCCCGCTACATCTCTGTCCTGCCCCGCGGAGCGGTGCGGGCAGCGCTGCCCCGGCCAGCCGCGGGCTCTGCCCCATTTCCAAATAAATCACGTCTGTTTCTGGCGGAAGAAAATTACCCGGCATGGTTAAATGATTGCGTTGAACGATCGCTGGCGCTTAAAAGAAAGAAAACGAGAATACCAACCCACCCCACTGTGCTTTATTTTAATGGATGATAAAATTGTGATGGGCGAGGCGAGGTGGGGGGGAAGGGGACGG